CAGAACTTGAGCGCTTCAGTCACCAATCCAGTGGCATACGGGTTAACGCCCTTAGCCACCACACCAGAGAAAACACAACCGGACTTTTCGTCCACGATCACCAGAATGGGAAGGAGACCATCCTTCTCATCCTGAGGCACCTTGACCTCCTCCACGGAGTTCACTGGGCCCTTCAAGGCCCGTCCCAGAAAACAGTAGTCCAGGGAGATGCGCGCCACCTCCGACGCGCGACCGCTGGGCTCTCGAGCTGAGTGCGCATCCTCACGCACCTTGCCGTGCATGCAGTGATCGCACCAGCTTCGCATGGGCAGATGCGTAAGCATATGCTCGTCAAACTCGGCTTTGCTAACCGTGTCCGGGATCTTCTTTGTCTTCGGCCGCCGCGTGGCCTCAGACACTTCCATTGGCACGTCGCCAATCTCCGGAAGAATCTGGGCGGGGCCACCCGCGCCAGGGCCGTCAGTAGAACTCCCTGCACCGGCGGAGTTACCCGCACCAGGGTTCGCAGCGGAACTCCCCGCATCGGCGGGGCCGCCCGCACTTGAGCTTTGGCCCGGCTGAGCGGAGTCACCCGCTTCACCAGGCTCCTCGCCTTCACCTGCCAGCGCCTTTGCTGGCACCGTCTTCTTAGCAGCCCTCGTAGCTGCTAACACGTCTGGGTCTTCAACCCTTTCACTTTCTTTCACCACGTTCACTGGGAGCCAAAATACCCCTCTCTTCTTTCTGAGTTGCATCGTGTCTTTGGTCTCTCCTAGGGCTTTCCTAAGCTTACACGCATGCTTATCTAGAACCATACACTGCACACCGGGGCCAATCACCGTCCAGGTGCCTTTCGTGGCCGCTTGGCCAGCAGAAAGCACCGAAAACCTAACCTTTTCAGACTCGGCGTACTCTACCGAAAAGGTCCCAGCACTGGTTTCGAGCTGGCTCCTAAGCCTCTGGTCGCTAGCCAAGGGCTCACCCGTAACGGTAACCATTCCAGGCCCCGAAACACGAGAACCCAACAAAGCACCGGAGTCAAACCCTTTCCGAAACAGGTGAGACCCTGCCCCCGTATCTACAAGAACCTCGGTCTCACTGGCCTCGATGCTGGGCGTTGCCGCCACCACACCAAAGCAAAGGTCCGGCTCCTGAGGCGATGCAGACATGGGCTCTGGTTCCTCCTCGCCCTCAGCGGGGCTAGCCGCATGAGGTGTGCGGTTCTTCCCGCCACCTTTTGCTTTAGCTTTGGGCTTGGCTTTGGCATCGGCTTGTTTCTTGCGACACTCAGCTTCTACATGCCCTTTCTTATGGCAGTACCAACACTCACGGTCCTTGTTGGGGTTTGCGCCTTGGGGCTTTTGCTTGTCTGAGCCTTGGCCTTTACCCCCTTTGTCGCCTTTGCCTTTGCCTTTGTCTTTGCCCTTGCCCTTCTCTTTGCCCTTTTTCCACGGTGCAGCTCCAAGGTCCATAGGCTGCGGGAGATTCTGCAGGACGCGGTTGGTCCTCGAAATCTCCAAAAGTTCCGCCTTCACATCCGTAAAGGATTTGAGCCGGCTTGAGTTCCGGATGATGTGGCTTTGCAGGCTGCTGTCCTTTAGCCCATTCACCACAATGCCCAAAAGCATCTCCTCATCCAGTGTTTTGCCGCTCTCCTGTTCATACCTCCGGACGCTCTTTTCGAAAGCCGCTAAGTCCCCCTCAACATCATCACCAAACTTGCTTGAAAGCAACGTTGTGAGAGTGCCCACATAGCGTGACGCAACCCTCGGGTGGAACTCCTCAAAGATGCGCCGGTAGGATTCAAGACCTTCTCCGAGGCCCGTGTTGTAAGTGATGTCAAGCGGCCTACCGCGCAGGAGCATCACTAAGATATAGTAGAGTTGGCAAGAGAGGTCCCGGTCCACATCCGAAAGAGCCCTGTTTGGGAAGCTCTTCTTGGAAAACTTTGCTTGCTCCAGCAGGTCAATGTACCTCGAGTCGATGCAGCTAAGGTAAGACTCAAAGATGAACGACCAGTCACTGAAGCTTTCCTCCGTGGACCCTTTGAAAACCTCGGGCTTCCCGAGTTGCCTGGTGTCTACCAGGCCGGCCCTTGGGGCCGGTGGTTGGCTTGGGCCCGGCATGTCAGTATCGAAGGTGCTCTGCCTTCCCCGGGCTGCCAATCCTGACGCTTGCAGCTGCAACAGCTGGGCCTCCTGAGTCACCAGCCTGTTGTTCATTTGCTGCAGCATCAGGTTAGTTTGCTGCAACTGCTGCTGGAGCTGCTGCTCCAGCGGAACCTGGCCCGCCTGTTGGGCCATCTGGGGAGCTTGGGGGGTCCCAATCAACCCCGCTTCCATCTCCATCCGAGCTCTCACTGCTCTCCTCGTCCTCCGTCAGGAGAGGAGCTGATGTGGCCTTTGGTTTGGCCTTGCTCTTTCGAGCGGTCCCCTTTGGTCGGGGCTCGGTGCGGTGCCGATTGGCCTCCGCAACCCTTTGGGCCAATGCCTTAGGAGAAAACCTCCTAAGCACGTAGTTGCGCACAGCCGGGGCGGCCTTGCGACGCCTGGTCCTGCAGGTACTGCAAGCTTCGCCGACCCGCTGCCTAAGCAATACCTCGCCCACACTGCCCTTAGGAAGCCTCTTCCTGATCGCCTCCTGGGTCTCCACTCTCTCTCGGAACCTCTGCTGCGCAAAGCGAGCGGATTGCTCGGTCAGGAACTCCTCTAAGTCCCTCTTGCGCCCCGAAGCCTGCTTGCTTCGTGTCGGCGCTACCGACCTCAGGACCCGATTTGCCTGAGCCTCCCGAGGAACCGATCGAAGGTCGAGGCGGCTCCTTTCCTTCCTTCGTCGCCTCTCCTTCTTCCACTTGATCTTCTCGTACCCAGCCTCTGTCTGCCTGGGCTTCCTTGGTTGGCTCTTGGCCGCGGTCGTCCCGAGGATCCGGTCTCGCTCCTGAGCCTCCTCCAGGCTATAAGTTAGAACCACCCGCCTCGGAGTACGACCTCGGCCCCTTGCCTCAGCTGACCCCCGGGCCGAGGGATCAGCGGCTGCCCTGTGGCTTCTTGGTGGCTCCTGCCGCTCCTCAGCGGCTGCAAGCCTTCTGGCTTGCCCGCGGTCCTGCCTCCTAGAGGTGGCCGCTTCACTTCTTTTCCCCCTCTTGTTCTTCTTCTTGGTCACCGGCTTTCCTTTGCCGCGACCTCGACCCGCCGTCTTGGCGGTCTACCTGCTGCCTAAGCAGCACTCGGGAGGACTATGCTCCCACACCAGCGCGGATCGGCCCGCAGCTGGTTCCTGTGACGCGGGACTTCCCGCGGTCACGTGTGGTGCGGGGCTGACCCGCAACCACCAGGGAGCGGGGCTTGCCCGCGTCCCTTACCTTCGCGGGGCGACCCGCAGAAGGTGAGCACGGAGTCCCTTAGACGTCCGGCTCCGCTACCATGCAAGGGTTTAGGTTAACCCTCAAACCACACACACCGCAGGCACAGGCTACTTATTTTACTCACCTCGTGCCAAAAGGGGCTACCAAGTACAGCTATACAACGGCAGTAGTCAGAACATGCTTTATATCCTGACAAGCTTGGTATCTTTTTGGAAATTCTTGACTAACATGACCACTTCTGAGTGAAGCCAACTGGCGGTCGTTTCACCACGTTGGAGACAGTGGTTATAGTGATCAGAGACGGAATTTCAAAGGAGCATTCTGCAATAACTACGCCCGTACTTTATCCGGCCCAAGACCGCTCCTTAAGTTCTTCTATGGCAAAGGGGTTGCCTGCTTGTGGCAGCGGTTCTAAGGAAGGAGATTGCGGGAAATCCTCTGGCGAAGGGGCTTTTCAGACCTGATCTGCGAGATAGTCAGCAAAGGTTTGAGCCCGAACGGGTTTAGAGACTAGTCTGCCCTTGGTATTAAAAGGATTAGTAGGCGAGGGGCGAAAGAAACTGCTTCATATCGCGCCGGGCGAGTTTTCGAATTTTATTGCGATATTGGTTAACCTCCTGTTCTGTAAGATCAGTACGTGACTGGAAGGAGGTGATGCACTCCAGGGTGGAGAGAGTAATCCAGGGTTTTTGGGGGAGACAAGCAGCTCGGGGATGGATAGACAGACACGTAGATTTGCCACACAGCAAGCATCTCACTTTCATGCAGCAGAATAACTCACCTGCGTCCCTTCCTTGCCGGCGTCATTGCCACTGCCCGCAACATCACAAGAATAGGCGTTTGCCTCCGTGTGTGCTCGTCGGTTTTTGCCAGAAGAAAACGACTCGCCGCACTCGCTGATAGCGAGTTGCTACCCCTCCGCACGAACAAGTACAACACATGTACGTGCTTCCTGCATTGGCAACCTGTCACTTCCCTCAAATTGCGTGGGGTTGGGGAATCAGTATTGAACTTTCAGTCCCTCCCGTTTAGGGTCTATGGGGTTTTTGGGAAGGGGACCACCCATCATCTCCTGTTGCAGACGCAGCTTTGGGTCCTGGGGACCGGCCTTTTAGGTTCTGGGCTGCACTCCTTCCATTTGGCTTTGGGAACAAATCCCCAACCAGAAGTTTAGATTTCGCCAATCATCTCCTATGATGGTCGGGTCTGCCCAGCATCGTGCTGTCAGGGCTTTGGGCTTTTGGCAGCCAGTCGGTCGGCAAATCGGAGAGCGTGAGTTTTGCCAAGCCTCAAAGCCTACAAGAACGTGTTGCATGGGAACGGACAAGGACATGCTAGCTGCTAGGTGGGAAACCCTAAGCTTCACGCCCGAAACCATTAAAACGAAAAGGAGATGTCAAAAACTGAAAGGACCATGCCGTGCGAGAAACCTAAAGTCCTAAAGTTCAAGGATAAAGCTGAAACAATGTTAGGCGGGACTCCCTGAAGCCGGCACGCGGAACCCTGAACCTTGTGGGGCCGTCATCCCAAAGCTCAAGAAACCCCAAATCCAACCCCAAATCCGGGTTCCGTGCGGGTTTCTTTAGTCTAAAAAGGGTTTGGAGTTTGGAATCCACGGACATTTTTTCAAGGCGCGGGCCACTTCCGGGGCCCAGGCTGCCGGCCCAGAGGCGTTGGTTCGAGATCACCTCGTAGAGGCGCCGCGCCTGCCGCGGCCCCGCTCCGCTCTCTCTCCGCTCTCTCTCTTCTCACGACTCTCCTCTTCACTCTTTCACTCCCGCCCTTTCCTCGCCTCCAGCAGCATCTTCTTGCACATGTCCTCCTGGCGAAAGGGTGCCACCTGTCCAGAGACTGGCTCAGGCTCAGTGGCTCAGAGCTGACTGCGTCATTCTGCCGCCCTCCTTCCGCCTGGTAGAAGAAGCTGAGCTCTGAGTCCGGGCCTGCTGGGCCTGGCCGAGGGCCGCAACCCCAAGGCTATGACTCCATGCGAGGCGCACGGCCTGTGAGTCCAGACACTTTCACTTCGATGCCAACACTTTCATACTCGGAGGGAGGAGGCATCTCGGCATGGCATGCGCGACTGCATGTAGCATGTAGCATAAGGCAGATTGCAAAGTCAGCTGGGAAATGCACGTCGGGCCAGAAGATGATGCAGAATGGCTCACCGTGAGCTGCACAGTCCACGGCGAAGCCTTTTACTGGCACCTCTCACATGGGCTTGTCTTGCTGAGCGACTCTGCTCAAGACTTGGGGGGCTTCTGCCTGGGCTTGTCTTTCAACGGCAACAGGCCTTCCCTCGACAAAGTCGATTTTCGCCTCTGCTGTTCTGCAGCAAGAGTCTGAGTCGCATGTTCAACGCAACAAGGTCGAGCCAAGGCAGGCGTGCCCGCCACACTCTGACCGAAGTCTCTGTTGTCGGTCCGTACCTTGCAGACACACATAACATCACATCCAACAAAGCCGATGCCATGCCTACGCCGCCCTTTCGGCATGTCCCGGCCTGAAGGTGTCGGGCATGATGGTCCAAGCAAGCTGCCAGCCCTTGAGCAGACATCCTGGAACCCAACCTTGGGATCACGCTGCGATGCGACCAATGCGACCACTCCAACCATCCACACCAGCCCCTCGCTCGGACCGCAACCGCAGGGAGGATAGCAAATCGCGTCCACGTGATTGTCAACACATCCTCTCTGCGCTATTCACGAATCCGACCCCTGCCGCTAGCCGCCAGTCAAATCACGTGAGCTCTTACCCTAAGACTGAGATGCGCACCGTCCATGCCAGACCCAACCACACTGCTGCCCGTCCAAAGAACACATGTATCGTTCCTGACGAACCACTCGTCCGGCCACAGACGAGCAAGTATGAGCGGTGATGGTGCCTCCGGAACGCGCCAAATCCTGTCGACCGGAAGAGCGACATCAGTGTACTATACCGTCTTGATCCGCGAATCACGAATCTCAAAAGTGCGATCTTCTGGCTTGAGCTGTGCATTCGAGCAGAATTGAGTTTGCTGTACGTATACCAGAAGACACATTCACTCAACCTCGTGATTTGCTGATTCTCGTCCTTACGAGATCCATCACAACGGCAGGTGTGGAAAATGAGCACTAGCCAAACGTGAAAAAAATCTCCCAACAGATCCACTTTGCAGGGGTCCATCTGCATCGGTTCATCCCCAACCTATCCTGAACTCGTCAAGACTCTCAACAAATGTTCAGGTTTGCAAGCTTCACATCGAGGTTCAATGAAGAGCAAAGCAAGGTAGAACCACTTCGTGGAGAAAGCACGATCGCAATGAGGACCTGCGGAGGAGCGCAAGGATCGGTGCGGACGCCGTACACAGAGCCTTTCTTGCCACCGGGACCGGGAACCTGTGCTGATTGGAACACATCTACATGACTCGAAAAAAACACCCACAGGCCACAGGACCCTTGCTCCGCGTTGTTGGCGAAGCTGCTATGCGACAGAAAATGTCAACGGCACGCTTCCAGGTGGTGCGCCATGACCGCGGATGCTTGACAAATCTGTGAAGCACGCAGCGATCGCTGTCCGGCCGACATGATGCTGGAGCACCAACCATCCCTCGTAACTGCGCTGCGCGAGCTCCGATAGAGATAATGCTAGAATGGACAAGATCACGTCTGGTCTGATTTCGGCCGCTGAACTAATGGCCCATTGCACAGACACGAATCCGAAGAGCGCCCGGATTGCGCAGGTGGGGTCCGACATCTAGCAATCTGCAAGCTCTCAGCAACGCAGCAACCATCTGAAGAGAGTCGCGCGAGCCTCGGAGACTTGGGCTCAGAAGCTTGCGCCGGATTGCAAACGCTCCGTTCGTATCGCCTCAAGGTGACGAATCGGCTGGAGGCAAAGCGCACTCCGAATGTCCAGCTCTAAACAAACTAAGGCGAGAACCGTGACAACCGGCGGTTGCATGTCTTGCTTCTTCGTTCGGCCTTGAACACACATAGCAGCAAAGGCAACCATACGAAGCCTGAATCCACGGCAAACATGTTGCAGAGTCTTGACCACTAACTTCACGTGCTCTCCTCTTAAGAAGAATCTCTGATGCCTTCAGTGCAGATTACACAACAAGGTATCGTGGTCTCCAGCTCTTTCTGCTTTGTCTTGGACGGGGACGCAGACCGAAGGTCAGCTCGTAACAGTTTTCAGTCACTGCCACACAAGACTTGACTCACTTGCGCCATGTCATCTGACAAGCCTGTGGTTGCGTCCTGCTAAACCTGCTTCACTGTACTGCAGCTGTTCCTTGGAACTCCTGGCACTCCAAGGTAGTCGTTGAATCGGCATGATGGACTTCTGACCCTGCAGCCTACTCTCTGAAGTGTTGAAAAGGGCCCTCCACTCGTCAGTCAGAAGTGCCACCACGCTTCGATTTGTGTCAGGCGTCGCGGCATAGCGTACGACTGCCCCCGGCAAACGAAGATCGTGGGACATGCATGAAGTTCGCTCTGTAGTTCCCAGGCTCCCTTCCAACATCCTACAAGTACCGGTTAACGCGCAAATCGCGCCACGGTCTCTGTTCCCTTTGCGGACACACATGCACACCATCGAGCCATCCCGCTGCCTGCTTCAGGTTTGAAGAAACACCGCCTGAACTGCAAGAAAGAAAGGAAAACGTGACCGAACGGAGCCCCCGAACCGTTCAGGTTCCGGGACACGTTGAATACATGCCGGAATCCAAGGAGTTAAGAGCATCACGAGAGAGTTTGATGACTTCTTACAACCACACAAGCAAACAGCTCCAGGAATGACAGAACAATGGAAACATTGCGCGGATGCCGCTCCTCCGATTACATGTTCCCATGACCTCACACTCTGGCATGAAAAAGTACCGAAACCAAGGCCTGATGATATCTGTCCGCAAGGACAAGTTTGCGTGACTTGGTCCGGAATGTTCTTCCATCTTCGTCATCTTCGTCATGTGATGCCTTGCCAGGAACCCTCCATTGCTCCCTAATGCCCAGCACTTCGCCAGTCACCAAGACCATCACAGCAGCGGCTGCAAGTCCCGGAAGATGTCGGAGACCAGCCTCTAGAAAACCCTGCTGCCCGCGCATCCAACCTCACCAGCTGAGCATGGCACGGAAGATCCTGCCATGAACACACAGAGCTGATCGCGTCAGCCTATAGATGTACATTGGCAAATCCCACCTGGTCGGGCCTGCAGTCAAACGTGTTCATCCTGCCAGCACGTACATCAGATTGTGGACCGATGAGGCTTCGTTTCTACGCTCACGAAACGCATTGTGCCGCTGCTGGTCTTTTCTCATGCTACAAAGGTAGAGAACACTTCGAAAAAGAGAGGCTGCCTGCGGTTCGTTGATGGAAATGCAGCTGCAGCTGCCTGCAAGACACGTTGATCACGCAAAGCTTGCTTTGACATGTACGGCAAGATCCCAAGACCAAGACTCTGTCTTCTTCCTCAGTCGGTTTTCGTCGATCCCTGGGCTGAGAGCAGAATCTTCATGTTATGATGAAGATTACGAAGCATGCAGCATGACTCGCATTACGCCTGGTTGCAGCAAGTTGCTGCAGATTTTTGATGAAGTTTTGCTGCTCAATCAGAAGCTTCTCCTTCTGGCGCTTGAAACTGGCCTTGAGCAGAGCTCTTGATGTCTGGTGACTCTGGTGCACCCGATACAGCAAAGTGCTCATCAGCGCTTAACTCATCATTGCCTGGCGTTTCCTCAGCTCTTGTTGTGGTCGGTGCCTCGCGGATGTCCCTCCCTCCGTCCAGGACTCTCACAAAGCCTTCCGGACCTCCACGTTACTTCGCGCTTCTCATGCTGGACGACGACACGGGGTGGACCAGTCCTTTGGAAGGTTGTTGGCTACCCCCGCAAAGGTGCAAAACCTCTGCCTGTGTCTCCAGCCTCGCATGCATCGCCGCAAAGCCTTCTTCCACCGCATCCACGAGGGATCCTTCGCTGTGCACCACTGAAACCTGCCAGGCCACGTCGCCGCAGCACAGGGGAGCAGATGCTAATGCTGCTAATGCCTAACTAAAATTCCTGGCCGGCCTGGCCGAGCTGGAGCTCAAGAAACTTTGTAGTCGCATGCGACAAATCGGGCCCGTGGCCGTCGCCTCTCGCCGCAATCACAAAAACAAAAAACACATCTGGCTTTGGCTGTTTGGCTCGGACCGAGTCTGGCTGCCCGAACCCCAGCCGGTGGCTGCAGCGGCTGCAGAACCTGCACGCTTGACTGTAAACCCAGACATCGCCGGCATAAAACGGCAGCTGTCTCGAGCTGAATTCAACTTTCTCAATGCACTGCAGAGACCAGATGCTTCGCAACACCAAACAACAACATGCCTCGCAGAAGATTCGGCACGCAGCCTGACTGTTCGGTAACTTGAAAAGGGACAGCCAGGAAGCAGGTATTTTGCCTAGTTGAGCTAGTGAACGAACGTGTCCCATCACATCAAAGCACGGTTGCATCCCACGAAAACCGCTCGTTGCCACATAGTTTCATGTCAGACTGGGGCAGTGAGGCTTCTGGCAACAGGGAGAGATGGCCCACTCTGCAATTAATTGGCGATCTGTCTTCTGAACTTGAAGCCATCCCGTCACGCAACCCTTTGCGGGGTGCATCCGTGCCGCATCAACCTTGCCCAGGGGGGCCAGCGAAATCTAGCTCCTGTGTGCTGCGGCTATAACATTTTCTTCTTGCACAACCGTGCTGTGGTTTACTCATCAATCAAGCTTTGTCCATCCCGAGCTGCTTACGACTCACGGATGCCCATAAGTTGATGATTTGTTCGTCTTGTCTCGGGCACTGCGAAATCGTCCGTTTGACTTGACTTCCACCGCAGGTCGAATGCCTCCTGCTCCTCCAATGACTATGTTTTTCGCGATTAGGTGCGGAAACCGCTACAGTAGAGAAGCCACCCACCGGGGCAGACCAGCTGCTGGTTGCGGCGGCAGCCGTTTACATGAATCCAAGAACCACAAGCATCGGCAGTGGCTCGCTAAGAGCCCATTGTTACAGCATGGTCAGATGTACCATTGCCCTCGGCTTGTCAATCCGTGCCTCCAAATGCAGATTGAGATCCACCAGTGGCAGACCGCAAAGCCGCCGCACAAAACACAACATCTGCGCGCTGCGGAAGGCCTCTTCGAGTCGCACAATATCAACCTCACGTCTTTGTTCATCTGCACCTCGACATCGGAGGAGGTCGCAATTTCCTCTTCCGGATTCTCCTGCGATGCTTGTTGTGCAGACTATGGCCAGGAGCACTCAAGTGAATCTTATTGCCCGCCTCCTCTTCTTCCTCGTCCTTGTCGCTTGCCTCTGCGATCGCCTGAAAAGGTCAAGGCGGTCGGATATCCGTATTGGAATTGCTGAGGGTGAATGGCTTGTCAAACTTGCTAGACACAGCGCTGCATCGGTGTCCTGTGCAGTGACAGAAGCGGCCAGAGGATGAAGCTGCGTTGACCTGCTCAATGTCATCAATCTTCGAGCCATGGAAATCGTAACCGTCAGTCTCTTGTAACAGTATGCACGGGCCTGGTGGTGGAGGTCATGGCTTTCACCTGGTAAGCACTGCAACAGACCGACAGACGGACACCCACAAAGATGGCAGGTGTAGCCTCAGCTGGATGCTGCCTGCAATGACTGTGTGGAGATAACGGTCTTGGTGGGGGCACATGTCGAGCCGGCGGTTGCTCCCAGCCCTCGAGTCCAGAAGCTTCGAAAGCGGCCTGCTACTTTGAGCAGACACGAAACGTCCTCTGATCAAGCACAGCGCTCCTGCATGGAAGCCACGTGGTGCAGCACCTCCCCAGCTTGGCTCGCTTGGGCTGTTGCTGCCTGCAGGGCAGAATGTGTTCAACGGGGCTTTCGAACCAATGCATCCACGCCTCGGCCTGCTTCATGCGCTTCTCTTTCTCCTTTAGTCTGTTTGGCCTCTTAGCCGCCTCAGCACAAGTGGTCGACCCCGCCATGACGCAGAAGTTGAGCCACTGCAGAAATCAGGTAATTAGGTGGTACTGCCTCGCAAACACCTCCAGATCATCTTCCCGGCCAGAGGAGAGCCGGTAGTTCAAGGATGCATGTGATGCAGCACGCTTCCGTGTGTCAACTCTGCACCCTCCGGAGACATGTGACAGGACTGAAGCATGAAGGCATGCGCGCCTGCACACGTCACATCCCGAAGACCGGCAGATGTTTGACTGATTCAACTACAAACCCGGAGACAAGGCCAGGACCAGTACCGGAGTGTCGTCATCACCGTCGCCTTTCACCGGAGACTCTGCCATCTATGTTTTTCGCAACTGGGCCCAGCACGGGTCCTTCTTTGTTCGGCCCAGTCAGAACGCGTTCCATCTCAAGAAGTTGAGCCTCCACCCGGGCTGGTCTGTGCTTGGAGCTTGGACTGCATGGACTGCGGACTGCGAACTGCGCAGGAAAGCCGCCTTCACCTCGGAAAAGGAGTGCTGAAAGCAGGCCTTCAGGCCTGGTGGAAGCGGAGGAGGTGGCCGCAAGCTCACTCCACTCCTCCCTTGAGACGCAGGCGGTCTAGGACCCAAGGTTCAAGCTCTCCGACAAGAACCTTCCAGACAAGCCGGGACGGCAAGCAAGCGGCAGCTCCGACAGGGGGTTTTGGGACCCTCAACCAGCGCCGCACGTTTGATTTCTGGCTCCGGCTCGAGTTCGCATTCGCCCGCCTGGTCAGATCCCCACTTGCACCAGTGTGACCCGAACCCGAAACTGTCGGTCTGAGGTGGCGACTTCCGACCAGCTGCCTTTCAACGGAACAACATCGGCTTGCACTGGATAGGCGGCCGGAGTCCAAGCACTGAGAAGCTCACCAAGGTGTCTGCATCACGCCTTCGAAAGGCTTTGGCACCAGAGGCGAGGTTATGCGAGCTAGGGCAAACGGAGCAAATAAACCAGATGCACGAAGAGGCTCCTACACTGAGCCGATTAACTTTTCCTTGAACTCGTGAAGAATTGCTGGCCTCAGCGAGACCTGTGATGCCGATGTCAAGCTTGCCTGAGGGTTTGCATGGACCGTTATGGGCTCCCACTTCGCTTCGAAGTCAGAGCAACTCAGGCGTGGACTTCTGAAGAGGCCACGCTCGAAAACAAGCTCCTACTGCTGGCCGTGCCTCGCGTCGAGGCGAGAATCAAAATTTAATCGCCTTGTGGCAAAGGTTCCAGGAGCCTGCCATCAACGAGGTGACATCAAGCTCAGGTCTCGGAGCAGAAGGGTGAACTTTCTGAGCGCTTCGAAGGGACATTCTGAGCCGCTGGCACACCAAGCTCCTGCAAGGAACTTTGATCGGGCCTTCGAAGAGTGTTCACAGAATTCTGTCGCTACACAAATCTGAAGTGGGCCTTTCAGCATCAGCCTGGTCTGTGGCGTGGGATCCCGTTCCCTGGAACAAGCAGAACCTTGACCAGAAGTGACGCTTAGGCACCAAGGTCGGCACATCATCGGGCAGGGATTGCACCAAATGCAGATGGTCCTTGTCAGTGTTCTGCTGGAAATGCCAAACACGTTGTCACTTGAAATCCACAGCTCAGGCACGAGCGATCTTATGGAGATCACTTGCAAACTCGCCCTGAACTCAACAAATCACAGAGTGGCACTTGCTCACGATAGCATAAGCTGCATTTCTGAATACATGCTCAACATGGTCAATGATCGCTTGAGTTGTCTGCTGCTTGTCCTGTGCAACGCTGTCTGTGCGTCCTGTCAAACGAGGCTCGTATGATGTCAAACTGACACGAGGATATCGCTTGCACAACAAGGAACAGGGTCTCCTTGACTCGCAGTTTTCCTGCAACGGCGGGAGAGGCCTGCATCTTCTCTGAAACTTGGCAGCTTGGCTTCTGCGACAAACATTTGGCTCATGAGTTCAACATAACCAACGCCTATGCAAGCGGGCAGTTGCAGGAATTCGGGACAAGTTCTGGGCCTCGGTGCGGTCTTCAGGTGTCTCACAACGGCACAGATGCACCATCACCGATACTTGTAGGGTGCAATTGCCACACGGTAAGCCCTCCTGGGGCACGCCACAATACGTTTGGAAGTCACGCCTTCACAGCTGTCTTGCATGAATAATGCTAGCACGTCTGACAGTTTCCGAGCTTTTTGAGCGCCACACGGAAATCAAATTCGCCAGACTTTCCAAGCAGAATTTCTGCTTGAAGGTGTCCTGACGGTCCATTCCTTGGGTGATTTCGATGATGCAGCTCCAGCCTAGCACAACAACTACGCAAGAGTTTCTGAGGCACGTTCAGCGGCAGTTTTGGCATCAGCTGTACAGATTTGACCTGTCTGGGTAAAATAACACTAACGGCCATGTCCAAGAAAGGATTGAAAGCCCACCTCTGCATTGTCACTCTTGTCCACCACTCGGGAACCTCCGAATGGAAGGTCGAACACACAGAAGAAAAGGAAGAAAAAACACAAGACTCTGGATGTTTGCAACCCAAACATATTGCCGGGCCGCTGAGCAGTGGCCACGCCATCCCTGTCGCAAGCCATCAGGTCCGACAGCACACGCCCACTCCCGGTGAAATTTGATGTGTCATGATGTTTGGTTTCATGTTCGGTCCCCAAAAATTCAACTGCCAAAAAACTTCCGAATGCACCGATGCCGCCCTTCGCTTCTGGCTTTCGACCCCGTGCAGAACGCAACCGCCGACCCCATCACGACTAAAACAAGACTTGCTGTTGCTGCACCCGACAACACCGACCCGCCGCTTTGCGGAGTTTTGGGTCGGAATTTGGCGGTGCTGATTCCAGAAAAGATCATGTCCGAACAGCAGTCACAAGCATCCATGGAACATGTACTGTTGCTCTCTCGGTGTTTCTCTACGTGTGTTGCTTCTCGCCCTCTCATTGAAAATCCCGGGCTTGGCAGTCCGGTCACCTGCCGAATGCATTTTCCACTTCCGGTAATGTTTGGTTATTTGTGTTTTGTCTGGTTTGGGTCGCATGTCTCTGGCATGGGTTCCGTGCTCATTCCAAACCGCTAACGATCACCTCTCGATGCTCCTGCCCTCGTCGCTCTCGCCTAGGCACGTTTACGGGAAAGCATAGGAAAACTGATTTCACCTGTCAAGATAGTCAGCTACTTGGGCGGCAGATATTATGTAACTCATTCGCGGAGTTCGGATTTCTAAAATTTTGGCAACAAAGAAACTAACGTGATCTGTCATTTCACAAAGAAAACTTGTCGAAAATTGGAATATAAGCTCATGAAGTATGCCTTGGGCACTTTCATCACTTTCCGAAAACATGTACGTGGAACATGCACTGGACCAGTCACCCGCCGATCCAAATCACTCAGGGTTCCTACCCACACTGAAACTGGTAGTCTCGAGCACGGTCGCGACTCGGCTGTTCCGGTTCCTGTGCACTGCTTTTCATTGTTCTGCTTTCCTCTGGCTCTGTGGCCTCACTGGAAGGTGGTTGTTCCTTCTTCGCTTCCTCAGCCTTTCTTTGTTGTTCTTTAGCTTTTCCTTTGCAATCTTTGATGTAGTCGGCGAGCTGCTTGGCTTGTGACATTGTGTGGATCGACTACGACCACAAGTACAAGCACCAGAAATGAGGAAAGGAACCAAAAGGAGAAGGAAAAGGAGCAAAGGGCAAGCCAAAGCAGAGATAAGCAGCATCAGGACTCGAACCTCGATCGCACGGGCTGGGAAGATACAGGAAGTCAGCAGAACAAAAGCAAGCAAAGGGAGCAGGGGCAGCAAAAAAAAAGAAGACAAAGGAAAAAAAGAAGGACGCAAGGAGCTAGAAGCCGCAGCAGAAGAACAAAGCAAGCAGCAAAGGAGCGCCAAGAGCAGGAAAAGAAAGAGGAGAGAGAAGGAAGCAAAGTGAAGAGAACAGAACCAGCAGCACACGTTGCCAGGAAGCAGAAAGCAGCAGCGAGCAGAGGGGAAGCAGCAGGATCGCAGGCACCAACAGAAGAGGAGACAGAAAGAGAAGCAGAAGCAGAGACAGAGCAAACAACACCAGCGCAGCAGAAAGGACGAGAAGCAAACGAAAGAGCCTAGTGAACGAAGCAAGCTTCATGAAGGGCTGGGGAAAAGGAGAGCAAGCAGGAAATTGGTTTGCAGTCGACTTGTTCGACAACGTGCGGTGCCAGTGGGAGTGGAAGCGAAGGAACAAACTTAACTACGGTTCCACTACAGTGGCCATAAGGAAGACGGATGGAAGACGGAAAGCAAGGATCCCAAACAAAGGAAAGGACCGGAACTTGCTGGCACTTTTCGGATCCTGCTCCCCTTGGAGGATGTCGCCCTGGGACTGGGATACAGCCTGCAGGCCTGCTGCGCAATGCAACAGTCGCTTGTGGCAGCTAACTCAGGTCCTCGTGTTCTGGCTGCGTGGACGTTTTTTCGATTTCCACCCACTTTTTTGCTGAATCCACCTTTTCCCCCTTTAAGTGCCCCTTGAAGGGGGCTTCAGACCTTCAAGCCCCTTTAGGGGGTCTGAAGGGGGCTTCAACCTTCGCTGAAGGGGCTTGAAGGGTCAGACCCTTCAAGGAGGCTTCAAGGGGGCTTCAATGAAAAATTCCAATAGCGTTTCGAGAATCTCCAGGAGTGTGCGATAATTAAGCAACAACAATCAAGCGGAAATCTCAATCTGCTCCAGAATGCAATCACTCGGTCTCAGACTTTTGTCTGGATGCAATGAGTCAGTCTTGAGCCAATGCCACTTCGTAGGCATTGTGTCCGTGGGTCCAATATGAGCTGGAGAATAACCATGCAATCTAACACGGTCCCTTAATTGTCGGCAATCACAGCTGTACAATCTCCGCTCATTTTGTTGTTCTATACTCGCAATAAAGCAGCAACGAAACAAGAATTGAATCAATCGAGTGTGAATCATATCAATCACGCAATCAGTCTAACGGCTTCAAACACATTAATTTAAGTAGTTGTTCTTCCGATTGAGCAGAAACGGCAGCGCTAAAGAGAAAATGATTTGTGAATCTAATTGCAAAGAACGCCGATATATATATTGTAAAAATTCCTTCAGGAAGCAGCACTCGCAAGGTCTTCGTTTTCACTGGTGACGTTGGGCGATCCACTCCTGTAACGACATACTCAACCGCGGTTGCGGTTGAGCACATCGCTTCGTGCAACTCAAAGGCCCAGCAGTTATGGGGACTCGGCAGTCCACAAAAACACACAAGTCAAGGCAGGCAATTCACCCCCAAGTCAAGGCAGGGACCTCACCCCTCCATGGGACTAAGCAGTCCACAATGCTGGCACGCGCAAGCAAGGTTGGCTAGACAGGCCAAAGGCCGATCAAACGTCAAGCAAGAGCATATTCTCAAGTCGACAAGCTGGCTACGGCCAGCGGCCCAAGAAGCAGTAGCGGCAAGGGTCTGTGTCATTATCACTGGGCGGGCGGGTGGGACAAAATTTTATGCCCATGTTGCCATGCTGCCTTCACTTGCTCCCTTGAGCACAACCTCACGGCGGGAGCATATCATAAGCCATGCACACAAGGATTGCTCTCAAGAGAAAATCACTTTGAAAGTTTTCTTTCCAACTCAATCGGAAGAAGTAAAACTAACCCAGTTTTACAAAACAACATCCTAAATTAAAGCGCTATCAACCCGTTGACCGCTAGCTTAATTTAAGTAGTTGTTCTTCCGATTGAGCAGAAACGGCAGCGCTAAAGAGAAAATGATGTGTGAATCTATTTGCAAAGAACGCCGATATATATATTGTAAAAATTCCTTCAGGAAGCAGCACTCGCAAGGTCTTCGTTTTCACTGGTGACGTTGGGCGATCCACTCCTGTAACGACATACTCAACCGCGGTTGCGGTTGAGCACATCGCTTCGTGCAACTCAAAGGCCCAGCAGTTAAGGGGACTCGGCAGTCCACAAAAACACACAAGTCAAGGCAGGCAATTCACCCCCGATTAACCGCGGTCCTAAGCAAGGATGTCATCAAGCGTTTTGGCAACTGGAGTTGCCTTGATAGTTCCTGCCTTCGTCTTTACGACTTTAACCAGCTCTCTAGACAAAATGTCAGAGGGGTTCGAAGGGCTCGGTACGCGTGCTATCCAAGTGTTCAGTCCCGCCATGTCTTCAACCGAAAGGAGTAGCTCGATCAGCGTCCTGCCCGTGTCGTTTCTTGCTCTCCCCGAAATGCATACGTCACGAGCACTGTTATTATCCACATAGGCCACTAATGCATGATGCATAATCCTTTTGCGCCATAGCACAATTGCAGCGATGTACGCAACAAGTTCCGCCTCGAAGATGATAGTCTTCTTACTGGCATTGCCGAGCTTTTCCATTTGCTTCAAGTCCAATTCATGCGAGAAGAAACTCAGCACGTTGCCCTCGTGATCATAAAGCACACCGCCTATGCCGCACTTGGGGCCCTGAGCACTCACCTCATAAGCTGCATCAGTGAAGATGTATCGTGGGGAGTGGGCCGGTCTCGCCAGCACGCGTGGTTTTGAGTCCTTAAGGAGCAGCACGTACCGGTTCAAGGCAGTAAGAGCATCCTGCCCAAGATTCGTTTGACCGGTAGCGATATGCATATCCAATTCCTTAAGACAAAGTTTGCTGGCGCGCCCGAAGACTTGGCCGTCGGCAAATTGTAGCCGGCCCCTGAGCCGTTGTGCATCTTTGCAGCGCAGCTCTTTGCTCTCGACTGCACTGGTAAGGGCGGCTAGGAGCTCTTGCACCCTGTTGTCGGTGTTCCCAACCTCAACACGTCCGCTGCTAAAAGGTTCTAAATTAAACCTGACCCCCAATGATTCAAAAGTACTGCCAAAATCCTGTGCCTTCTTCCCCTCCTCCGCGAACTGCCACCCCAGGAGTCTAAAGAAGCGGGGAATGTGGTCGGCAGTGTATGCACAATCTGATTGCCGAGCTAGTGTGGGAAAATCGTCAAAGTAGCAGGTCCACAAGAAGCCCAGGTGGCACCCGAGCGTCCACACCGAGTGCACGGTTCTGAGGAAAGAGTGCACACTCCTCACCGCCCCAAAGGGTAAGGCCTTCAGGCGATGCACTGAAGGTTGGCCGGACTGCTCGTCGTGGAAGGCAACGTAAGCGTCCTTTAGGGCGTCCTCACTTAGGCCAAGCTGGCGATAAGCGGACTTGAGATCTTAATTTACGTAGTTGTTCTTCCGATTGAGCAGAAACGGCAGCGCTAAAGAGAAAATGATTTGTGAATCTATTTGCAAAGAACGCCGATATATATATTGTAAAAATTCCTTCAGGAAGCAGCACTCGCAAGGTCTTCGTTTTCACTGGTGACGTTGGGCGATCCACTCCTGTAACGACATACTCAACCGCGGCTGCGGTTGAGCACATCGCTTCGTGCAACTCAAAGGCCCAGCAGTTATGGGACTCGGCAGTCCACAAAAACACACAAGTCAAGGCAGGCAATTCACCCCCAAGTCAAGGCAGGACCTCACCCCTCCATGGGACTAAGCAGTCCACACTGCTGGCACGCGCAAGCAAGGTTGGCAAGACAGGCCAATGG